GTGCCCAGCTTTCCCAGACTACTCTCCTGGCCCACCATCCACATCCCGTCCCCAGCATTCCCATCCCATCACACCCATCGCAAACTCACAATTCCATTCCCACCACCTCGCACCTGTGGTCTCCCTCCCATCCCCACCATTCCCATGCCATCACGCTATTCTTCCCACTTCCCATCCTGCCATCTCATCCTATCTCCCAGTCCCCATCTCACAATCCCCATTTTCACTCTCCTATCCCACCCCCCCCATTCACATTCCCAACATCCCATTCTCTGGTCACCTTCCCCACTCCCATCTCTCTGGTCCCCATCCAACCATCCCATCCTGTTCCATCTTATCCCATCCCATCCCACCCCCATCCCATCTTGTTCCCATCATTCCTATCCCAACTGTGCCATCCCGTCTCTTCTACACCATCCCGATCCCACCATCCAGTCCTCCCCAGTACGCATTCCACCATCCCATCCCCCCATTCCGTTCCATTCCATTCCCACCATTCCCATCTCATCTCTTTTCTCATCCCACTGTCCTGTCCCCTCTGTCCCATCCTGTCTCCATCCCACCTGATCCCATACCATCATCCCATCACCCTGGTCCTTATCCCAGCATTCCCATACCCACCATCCCCATCCCATCTCATCCCATCCCACCCCACCCTTCTGTCCCATCTTCATAGCCTCATCCCACCACTCCCAAATCCACCAATTCTGTGCAGTCTCTTCCCCGCCCTATCCCCACTGGCCCATCCCCTGATATACACCCCATCCCACCATCTCATCCTATTCCACCCCATTCCTCTGTCCCCATCCCACCATTCCATCCTGTCCCCATTCCAGCATTCACACCATCCCATCCCATCCTAACTCATCCCCTGTCACATGATCCTGCTCTCCATCCCATCTTCACCAACCCATCACATCCCATTCCATCCCACCTCCATCACTCCATCCTGCCCCATCCCGAGCATTCCCATCATATCATCCCATCCCGTACACCCAGTTTCCATCCCATCCCATCCCACCATTCCCATCCCCACCATCCCATTCCCCTGCTCTCCATCCCACCCTCACCATTCCCACTCCATTATCCCACCTCTGTGTCTCCTTCCCACCCCTCCCCTCCCATATTCCCAACCTGTTTCCGGGCGCTGTGGATGCGGCGGGTGGTGATTCCAAGGGGCAGCTCCAGCAGTGCCAGCAGTGCCAGCCCCGGTGCCAGCCACATCATGGCCATCCCCACCACCAGTGCCATTCCCAGGCTGCGGAGCAGCAGGTTGATTCCTCTCGGCACCGCCATGGACACCAGCGGCACCTCCGTGGAAAACCGCGCCGAGAGCTCGGCTGCGGGGCAGGAAAGAAGGTTGGGATCATGGGGGGCGGACATGGGATGGGAATGGCAGGGCAGGATATGACAGTTGGGATGGGATGGCAGGAATGGAGATGGTGGGATGGGATGATAGGATGAAGGTCAGGATATGGAACGGGATGGCGAGATGGGATAATGGGGGGGACAGGATGGGATGGGGACTGGGAGGACAGGATGATGGGAAAGGGGATGGTGGCAACGGGAATGGTGGGAATGGACTGACAGAGATGGGACAGTGGGGATGGGATGGCGGGATGGGAATGAGAATGAGGACAGGGCAGTGGGATAGGATAGTGGGATCGGAAAGGATGGTAGAATGAGACTGGGAAAATGGGATAGGATAGAAAGGGATGGGATAGTAAGAATGGGAATAAGGGGAATGGGATGGTGGGATGGGATAATGGATGGGTGGGGTAGGATGGGATGGGAACTAGGATAACAGGATGATGGGAAAAGGATGGAATGGTGGGATGGGGACTGGAGTCATGGGATGGTGGGATGGGACAGGTCCCATTACCTGCCGGCATTCCCTGGAAGAAATCCAGGTCCTGGTGCACCAGGTGGGAGAAGAGCTGGAGGCGCAAGCTCTGCCGGAGACGCGCTGCTGCCAGCAGGAAGAGCCACCCACGGCACCCAGAGAACAGGACACTGGGGGGACACGGTGACACTGGGGACGTTGGGGACATGGGGACACAGGCATGGACACTGGGAATGCCATGACCCACCTGGCTGCTTCGGCGGCCACCACCATTCCAACTGCTCCAGCGGTGAGCCCATCCCTGTTCCTGATGGCGTCCAGCACCTTCCCGGTGACGTATGGCCCCGCCGTCTCCCCTGGGTGTCATCAGGACCGTGTCACCGCGGCACTACCGCTGGCATGGGCAGACCCGATTGTGGGGGCAGGACTCGATTGAGGGAACAAGACATGATTTGGTGGCAGGGGGAGACAATTTCAAGGGGTCAGGACTCAATTTTGTGGTGTCAGCGCCCAGTGTAGGGATTTGAGACCAGATTTGGGGGTTCGACATCTAATTTTGGGGGTTCAGCACCCAATTTTAGGGGTCAGGACCCAATTTCTTGGGGGTCAACACCCATTTTTGGGCATCAGACCCTAAGTTTGAGGGTCAACACCCAACTTTGTGGGGGTTAACATTCAAGTTTGCTTGGTCAGGACCCAATTTTTGGGTAGTCAGCACCCAATTATGGGGGTGTCACCACCCAATTTTTGGGTGGTCAGCTCCCAATGTAGGGGCTCAGCACACAATTTTGGGATGGTCAGCACCCAGTTATAGGGCTCAGCAACCAATTTAGGGCAATGAACAGCCAAGTTTGGAGGTCCAGGATCCAATTTTTGGGGGCCAGCTCCCAATTTTGGGGTGGTGAGCACCCAATTTGGGGGATCAGCTCCCAGTTTGGGGGGGTCAGCTCCCAATTTGGAGGTTCAACACCCAAGTTTGGAGTGGTCACCACTCAATTTAGGGAGTCAGCTCCAAATCTGGGCATTCAACATCAAATTTGGGGTGGTCCCTGCCCAGTCTGGAAGGAGTCAGCCCCCAGTTCGAGGCTGCAAGGCTCAGTGAATGGGGGGTCAGTGGCCGTCCCCGCGTGCCCTCACCTTCCCTGCACCGTCACCCACCAGTGGCCGCCAGCACGAGGCAAAGGAAGGCAGCTCCAAGGACTTTCCACTCAGACCAGGCCAGCGCCAGGACCCTCCGGAAGGCAGCAGGAGCCTTGGGGACACCGCCAGGGGTCTTGGGGACACCGGGGGAGGCCTCGGGGACGCTGCCAGGCATCAGGGGTGTGGCCCAGGCCAGCAGGGCCAGTGCAGTGGTCGCATGGGTGACCCCGAGCCAGGCAGGCACCGCGGCCGCCAAGAGTCCCGGCCCGGCCCCAGGCGGCCCCAGGAGGCTCCGGAGGGTTCCGAAGACCGCGGGGGTGGCGGCGGTGGTGACGGCAGCCGCGGTGGCTCCAGGGGGCCGGTGCGGGGTCAGGAGCCGGGGGGCCATGGCCAGGAAGGGCAGGCGCAGGGCGGCCTCGAGCCAGACGCCCGCCACCCCCATGGGCGCCAGGGCCGGCACCAGCGGCCCCAGTAACACCAGTGCCAGCGCGTCAGCCACCAGCAGCACCCCGGGGAGCAGCGCGGCAGGCGGCAGTGCCATGGTGGAACCGGCACGGACCAGTGCTCCCAGTACGGCTTCCAGTGCAGCTCCTGCGCTGGGCTTCAGCAGCCTGTGAACTCACCAGTTAACACCACTTAGGATTTGGGGGCTCACCAGTCCACACTAGTGCTCCCAGTCCAGCCCCCTGAGGTCCCCAGTCCACATCAGTTCTCTGCATATGGCCCCCTCAGCTCCCCAGTCCACATCAGTGCTCCCAGTACAGCTGTGCCAGCTCCCCAGTCCACACCAGTACTCCCAGTCCAGTTCTCGGAGTCCACCAGTCCACAGTGGTGCTTCCAGTACAGCCTGAGATACTCCCTAGTCCCCATCAGTACTCCCAGTCCAGACTGGGGTGCTCCCCAGCCCACACTAGTGCTCCAGTCCAGCCCCCTCAGCTCCCCAGTCCACACCAGTGCTCCCAGTATAGACTGGGGTGCTCCCCAGCCCCCATCATTGCTCACCATATGGCCCCCTGAGCTCCCTAGTCTACACCAGTGCTTCCAGTACAGACTGGGGCACTCCCCAGTTCCCATCAGCGCTCCCAGTACAGATTGGGGCACTCCTTAGTCACCAGCAGTGCTCCCAGTACAGACTGGGTGCTCCCCAATCCACACCAGTGCTCCCAGTACAGACTGGGGTGCTCCCAGTACAGACTAGGGTGCTCCCCAGTCCACACTAGTGCTCCCAGTACAGATTGGGGTGCTCCCCAGTCCACATCAGCTCTCCCAGTACAGACTGGGGTGCTCCCCAGCCCACACCAGTGCTTCCAGTCCGGTTCCCTGAGCTCCCCAGTCCATACCAGCACTCCCAGTACAGACTGGGGCACTCCCCAGTCAACACCAGTGCTCCCAGTTCAGACTGGGGTGCTCCTCAGTCAACACCAGTGCTCCCAGTTCAGACTGGGGTGCTCCTCAGTCAACACCAGTGCTCCCAGTTCAGACTGGGGTGCTCATCAGTCAACACCAGTGCTCCCAGTTCAGACTGGGGTGCTCATCAGTCCACACCAGTGCTCCCACTACAGACTTGGGCACTCCCCAGTCCACACCAGCGCTCCCAGTACGGCCCCCTCAGCTGACCAGTCCACACCAGTGCTCCCAGTATGGCCCCCTCAGCTCACCAGTGCTCCCAGTACAGACCGCTCAGCTCACCAATCCACACCAGTGCTTCCAGTTCAGCCCCGCAGAACTTTCCACTAAAATTTCTTCCGAGAACACGCCCTCTCCCGCCCCTCCCCCGCCCCGTTCCGCCTGGGCCCCGCCCAGAGCCCGCCCTCTTTTTGCCCCCTCCCCCTCCTCTTCACAACCTTCTCCGGCTCCCTCTGCCCGGTAACCGATGACGTAATGGGACCATTAACCAGTCAGCACCGCCATCGCGAGCTGTGGGCGGGGCCAAGCTGGGGTTCCCGGGGATTCCCAGGGCGGAGTCTCCGCTGACCCCGCCCCCGCCCCGCGCGCCTTCGGCTTTCCGGGAAACGGCGGCGGCTGCCGGGAAAGGACCGGGGGCACTGGGGGGACTGGGAAGGGCTGAGAAGGGCTGGGGCGGACTGGGACACCGGGATACATCCAGACACGTCGGGATACGCCGGAACCACGACCGGGACCTGCCGGGAGCAGAACGGGGACCCACAGGGACCCTCTGGGACCCACCGGGAGCAGAACCGGGACCCACTGGGAGACACAGGGACCAGAACCGGGGGCCACCGGGACCAGAACCAGGACCCACGGGGACCTACTGGGACTCACCGGGACTCACCGGGACCCACTGAAAGCAGAACCAGGACCCACTGGGACCAGACTAGGACCCCTCCGCGCCCCCCGCCCCCCCGATGTTGTCCCCCGCCATCCGCCGGCTCCTGGCCCTGCTGCGCCCCGAGTGCAGGCAGTGGGCGCTGGTGGGGGTGCTGATGGTGGCCTCGGCCCTCGGTACGGGGGGACCCCGATTCGGGGGGGTAGGACCTGATTTGGGGGTCAGGGCCCAATTTGGGGGGGCAGGGCCCGACTGGGGGAGTGGCAGGACCTCACTGGGTGGTGGGCAGGACACCACTGGGGGGGAAAAGACCCAATTTGGGGGGCCAGGGCCTGACTGGGGGAAGGAAGGAGCCGACTGGGGGGGGCAGGACCCGATCTGGGGGAGCAGAACCCAGTTTGAGGGGTCAGAACCCAATTCCGGGGTCGAGACTCAATTTGGTGGGTCAGGACCCAATATGGGGGGGGGCAGGACCCCTCTGGGGGGTGACAGGGCCTGATTTGAGGGGTCGGGACCCAATTTTGGGAGGCAGGATCCAATTTTGGGAGACCAGAAACCAATCTGGGTAGTCGGAACACATTTTTGGCTGGTCAGGACCCATTTTGGAGACAATTTTGGCAGGTCGGGACCAAATTTTCAAGGGTCAAGACCCAGTTTGGGAGGTGACACCCAACTTTAAAGAGTCAGACCCAATTTAGTGGTTCAACACCCACTTTTCAGGGGTCCACAGGCCATTTTGTGGTGCAGGTCCACTAGGGAGTCACCACTCAATTTAGGGGCATTGGGACCCAATTTCAGGGCTCAACATTCAATTTTCAGGGAAACACACCCAATTTTAGGTGTGCAGGACCCAGTTTGGGGGCCATTACCCAATGTGGGAGATCAGCACATAATTTTGGGGGGTCAGGACCCAATTTTGGGTTCAGTTGTGTGGGGTCAGGTGCAAATCTGGTGGGCCAATCAACCAATTTTAGGAGCCAGGACCCAATATCGAGGGGATCAGCACTCAATTTTGGGGCTCAACCCCCAATTTTGCAGGGCCCCACACCCAAGTTTAGGGAGTCAGGACCCAATTTGGAGGGTCAGCACCCAATTTTCAGGGGTCAACACCCAACTTTGGGTTCTCTGGACCCAATTTTGGAAGTTCAACCCCCAAGTTTGGGGTCTTAGCCCGCAATGGAGGGGGTCAGGACCCAATTTCAAAGCTCAACCCCCAATTTTGAGAGTGGTCAGTACCCACTTCTTGGGGCTCAGCCCCCAAGGCAGGGGCTCCCCACCCACTGTCGGGGTGTCCCCACAGGCGAGGTGGCAGGCCCATACTTCACGGGCCACATCACTGACCAGGTGACACAGGAGGACACGTCGGCGGCCATGTGGCCCTTGGTGGTGCTGGGGCTCGGCAGGTGGGTGACTGCAGGGCCAGGGGGACACCCCGAGGTGGCAATGCCCCGCGGTGCCCCCTGACCCCGCTGTCCCCGCAGTGCCCTCACCGAGCTGGTCTGTGACTGCACGGCGGCTGTGGCGCTGACGCGGGTGCGGGCACGTCTCCAGTGCGGCGCGGTGGCCGCGGTGCTGCGGGGGAACGTGCCCGGCCCGGGGGGCAGCCTGGGGGACACGCCGGGTGCGGTGGCCGCGCGGGTGACGGGGGACGCAGAGGCAGCGCACGCGGCGCTGGCCGATGCGGTGGTCCCGGCGCTGTGGGCGCTGGCCCGGGCCGGGGCCCTGCTCGCCGTGATGGCCTCGCTGGCCCCGCTGCTGGCCCTGGTCACACTCCTGGTGCTGCCCCTCCTTCTGCTGCTGCCACGTGCCATCGCAGGCATCCAGCAGGTAGTGAGAGGGACACAGGGACTTCGAGTCCCTTGTCAGCTCCCTTGGCCCCTTGTCACATCTGTGTCCCCAGTGTCACCTCCCTGCACCCCCTGTCCTCTCCCCGGGCCCCTCGTCATCTCTCCAGACTCCTCATTACTTCCCTGGGCCTCTTGTCACCTCCCTTTGTAACCTGTACCTTTGTCCCTGCACCCCGGTCACTCTTCTGGGCCCCTTGTCACCTTCCTGCAGCCCATGTCACCTCCCTGGGCCCCTTGTCCCCTCTCTGCACTCCTGGTCACCTCCCTGTACCCCATAGCACCTCCCAAGGCCCCTTGTCATCTCCCTGGGTCATGTCCAAGTCCCTCCTGTCCCCTCCTGGTGCCTGTCACCTCCCAAAGCCCACTGTCACCTTCTTCTGTCCCCTGTGCCCTCCCTGTCTCCCCATCTGCATGGTGACCTTGAGGTGACCTCCCTGTCTCCAGGGTGACCCCCTGTCCCCTCTGTGTCCCCCCATGATCCCATGCAGTGACCCTGCAGTGACTCCGGTGTAACCCCCATGTGCTTTCTGTAACCCGCCATGACTCTGTGGTGACTCCTCTGTCCCCTCCCTGTCCCCACCTTGTCCACCCTCTGTGCCCTCCAACCCTGTGGTGACCCCCTGTCCTGTGTGTCCCCAGGACCTGGCGCGGCGGGCGCGGGCGGCGCTGGCTGATGCCACCGCGGTGGCCGTGGAGTCACTGAGGGCCCTGAGGACCGTCCGGGCCTTCGGACACGAGGCCGGAATGACCGCACGTGTCCAGCAGCGCCTCAGCCACAGCCACCAGCTGGAGTGTGGGGAGGCCCTGGCCTACGGGGCCGGGCGGTGGGCCAGCGGGGTATGGGGACACCGGGGGGACACAGGGATGGGGGGCACAGGGGAATGAGGAACAGTAGTATGGAAATGGAGGACATGGTGGCAGGAGGATGAGGACATGGGGATGGGTAACACAGGAATGGGGGAAATGGGGGTGAGGGTGGATAGGGGCGAGGACAGGGTGGCGGGGGGCCCAGGTACATGGGGCATGGGGACATGGGGATGGGGATGTTGGGTGTATTGGCAAAGGGCCAGAGGACTTGCGGACATGGTGATCCAGAGATAGGGGACATGCAGATGGGTGGCACAGGGCTGGGGGACATGGGGACAGGGTGGCATTGTAATAGGGGACATGGGGACGTGGCAGCAGGGAGCTAGGGGACATTGGATGCAGTGGCATGGGGATTGGGACATGGGGACAGGGAACACAGGGAAAGGTGGCACAGGGCTGGTGGACGTGGTGGCAGGGGGCTGAGGGACATGGGGACAGGGGACAGGGGATTGAAGTGGCAGGGGGCTGGGGGACATGAGGACATGGGGTTATGGGGATAGAGGGTATGGAGACAGGGGACATGGGGACACAGGGACATGGTGGCATGGGACTGGGGGACACAGTGACATAGGGCTGGGGTGACCCCATGTGACCCTGTGTCCCCATGTCCCCAGTTCCCGACGCTGGTCATGAAGCTGGGGCTGCTCCTTGTGGGGGGACGCTTGGTGGCTGCGGGGACCATCACCCCTGGGGAGCTTGTCACCATCCTCATGTGCCACCTGAACTTCACCCGGGCTGTGGATGTGAGGAGCATGTCCCCACTGTGTCCCCAGCCTATTCGCAATGTGTCCCCAGTCTATTCCCAATGTGTCCCCAACCTTTCCCTCCTGTGTCCCCAACCTATCCCCAATGTTTTCCCTGATTGTCTCCAATGTATCCCCATTCTGTCCCCAACCTGTCCCCAACCTATCCCCAGTGTGTCCCTGGTATGTCCCCAGCGTGTCCCTGTCCTGTCACCAGCCCCATTCCCCATGTCACTGTGTCCTCCCATGTCCTCCCACCATGTCCCCGTGTCCCCACATCTTCCCAGCTGTGTCCCCATGTCCCCATGTTCTCTTGGTCATGTCCCTGTCCCCTCTGTCCCCACCCCAACCCTATTGTGTCTCCTCCATGTCCTCAGATCCTCCCCATGTCCCCTCACTGTGTCTCAGTGTGCACCTGCCATGTCCCAATGCCTGTCCCAGCCATGTCCTCCCCAAGTACCCAACGTCCACCCTGCCATGTCCCCTCCATTTCCCCAATCCCTGCCACGTCCCTATGCCTTCCTGGCTGTGTCCCTCCCTGTCCCCATGCCCATTTCCCCATGTCCACAAGTCCCCCAGTGTCCCTGTGTCCCCAGGCCCTGCTGTTGTACCTCCCAGACCTGGCTAAGGCTGTCGGCTCCTCCGAGACGCTCCTGGAGCTGCTGGACAAGGCCAAGTGGGTGGCACCTGTGGGGACACTGTCACCTGTCACCCCCCGGGGCCATGAGGCTTCCAGGACTCCAGGCCTGTGTCTCAAGGATGTCTACGTGACCTACCCTGGGCGGTCCGAGCCCGTCCTCAAGGTGACAGGGGGGCGTGGGGGACATGGAGGGACAGGAGGGGACACAGAGATATTGAGGAAATGAGGTCCATGGGACATAGAGAGGAGGTGGGGGAGATGAGGTACATGGGGGGACAGGGGAAGATATGGGGGGACACAGATGGGAGATAGGGACATGGGGGCTGTGTGGGGATGTGGGGGGACATGGAGGAGATTGGAAGTTGTGGGGGGACATGGGGACACGGTGAGGATAGGGGGGACACGGTGGGGATATGGGGTGACACGGGGGGAAATGGCTACAGGGTGGGGACAGGGTTCACATGGAAGTGCTGGTGTGATCCCCGGTGCTATCCCCATTCCAAGTGTGATCCCCTCTCCTGGTGCAATCCCTATTCCCAGTGTGATCGCATTCCCATTGCAATCCTCATTCCCATTGCCATCCCTTTTCCTGCTATGATCCCATTCCCGGTGCGATCCCCAATCCCCTCTCCCGCTGTTCCCATTCCCGCTGTTCCCATTCCCGGTGCGATCCCCAATCCCCTCTCCCGCTGTTCCCATTCCCGCTGTTCCTATTCCCGGTGCGATCCCCAATCCCCTCTCCCGCTGTTCCCATTCCCGCTGTTCCCATTCCCGGTGCGATCCCATCCCCTCTCCCGCTGTTCCTA